CAGACCTTGAGGCTTGCTTTCTCTCTCTCTCTCTCTTACTTTCTTTCTCTGGTAACACTCCTGTGAAAAAATAATAAGTAAATAAATTTTTAAAAATAATTATTTATTTTATTTATTTTAATTTGACCAGAGAGGGATAGAGAGAAAGGGAGAGAGAGAAGGAGAAGGCAAGCTCCAGGTCCAGGACTCGAGTGGTGGTCGGCCATGTGCAAGTCCAATGCCCTGTTGGTCCCAGTCGGTTGGTTTTTAATTCCCAGTCTGTTCTGTCAGTTAAGTCCAGAGACCGAGCTTGGAAATTGTGGTCCCGAAAACTGCTAGAAAAGCCTTCGAGCACTTACTCTGGTTCTTGATCCAGTTCCTCATGGACTGGGTTAGTTACATCCTGGTTTGTGGGCCGCGCTTTGAGTAGCCCCACGCTCGGAGTTCAGGACTGGAAATCAGACGCTCCTGAGTGCCCGGAGACCACATGCCAGGTGGCACGTGTGCAGTGTGTGTGTGACACCCAGAGAAATGTTCCTTTTTCTTGGGAGCCATCAGACTTTCAAAGAGGTCTGCGATACCAAAAAGGTGAGAAACCATCACTTTAGAAAGGCTCCTTTGAATATTGAGGGCACTGTCCTTCCCTGAACTAACCATGGGCTTCATTCGGAAAATGTAGGAGAGCTGAAGGAGCAGGCTTAGGCCGTGTCCGTCTTGGGTGAGAACAGATAAGTGGAAGGCTCCGTGGCCTATTGGTGCCGGGCCCCACATGGCCAACCATGCAGTTCAAAGCTCAGTCCTGGTGGCTGAGCGCGTGTGCGTGCGTGCCCAGAGTCCCGAAAGGAGGGAAGAATGGAGGAGAAGGGTTGGTGGCGTGACTATGTTCTGTGGGGGATTCCTCCCTCTCCCTCTCTCTCTGGAGAACACTTGTGCTGACAAATTAAAAAAAAAATAAGTGGCCATCTGAAGTACTATAGTAGGTAATCCCCTCATCTGTATATGTAGGTACATGTGTATCTGTGTATGCATTTATATGTATGTGTGTATCTGTATGTGCATATGTGTATATGTATTTTCTTTCCATCTAAATATTGCCAAAGTTGAGTATACATTCCTCTGTAAGACCATCTTCTGTTAAAATAAATACAGCCCCGCCTGGACAGGTGAACACGAGGCTCTTAGCTATAATGTAGTTCATCAACTGCTCTCTGGGTGGTTTGCCTCAGACTCGCAGTTCCGTCTTTCATTCATGATCGTGTGTGTGCATGCACATGATGGGGCAGGGAGAGGGTGTAGCAGCCTCCACGGGGAATGGTCATGCCACGGTCCCTTCCTTGTCAAATCTTGGGCACTTGTGTGCCTGCCTGTGTGCCTCAGGCTGACCAGGCTCCCCTGAAGAGTTTTATTACGGCTTTGCTGCGGAACCAGCCCCAGACTCTTTCCAAGTTTTCTCGGCAAACACTGGGAAAGCAAAGCTATTACTCTGTTCCTCTCAAGTATATGCCCCCTTATCTGTGAAGTCCCAGGCCTCAGACCCCAGGCCTGGTTCCAGCCGCCCTGGCCTGTGGCATGACCTTCCAGGATCGTTGTGTGTTTCAGGGACGGGCAGCAATGCCTGCTACATGGAGGAAATGAAGAACGTAGAGATGCTGGAGGGGACCGAGGGCCGAATGTGTATCAACATGGAATGGGGAGCCTTTGGGGACAATGGCTGTCTGGATGACATCAGAACAGAGTACGACAGATTGGTGGACGAATATTCCCTAAATGCAGGGAAGCAAAGGTAACCGCCCCCCCTCCCAGGGAGGTGACCTTGAGAGTCAGGATGGGGAGACCTGGCTGCATGCTACCTTTGACACAGAAGAAGGTTCAGGCGGGAGGGGTGTGCATACGGAATGGGAGACTGGTACCTCTGGTTGGCTTTGGATCTTGTCCTTTAGTCCAAGGACAGCAGGGACCTGGGGAGGATGAACCTCTACAATGGGATAAGATGGCCCAGGGTTGATGTCCTGTCTGGTAACCTCCTTCCCAAGAATATGTCCAGTGGACACCACTTCCTCAGTGACTTGCTTCATCCTGGAAGATTCTGGCCTTCCCTTTGGTCTATGTTTCTTCTTACAGAGAAGGATACTGGGGTGGGGAGGAGGATGATCATAGGTCCAGGCAAAGCAGAGGCCCTCCAGCAGTTCTGCCTTCCCCTCGTGCACCTCCTGCACCACCTAGTGGCTGTTTGGAGTTTTGCAGTTGAGGTCTTGGATCGGGTCTGAAAGGATGGTGTCCAGCCTACCCAAAATGGGACAGATACCCTTTTCCTCACTCCCCTCGGGACCATGCCATCCTCTACCATAGCCAGGACGAGTTGGTCCAAGTCCTGTCCCCAGGAGCAGAGAGAAGGGCCGGGAGTAGCACCTCCCAACAGAAGCCTTCCCCAGCCACCCTCCAGATGGTTGCCTGTCCTGAGCACCTGTGCTTTTATTTATTTTATGCTTTTCTTTACATCAGCTTATGTTCTTTGGTTAAATAAAATGAGGAAGAAAAAAAGGGAAAACCAGCATTACCATAAATAGATGACAGTCAGCAATGAAGAGGTTTATCGGCTGCCAGAGGCACTAAACCAAGACCTCCCTTGTTATGAGGGAGATTGGCAAGTCTTGGAAGGGGTTAAAGACATTCAGCACCAAACTGAGAGAGTCTCCTTGAGGACTGGGGACTGGAGAGGCACCGGTAATGATGTCACCTTCTTGTGTTTTCCATGGACCACAGAAACCTGAAGTGTTTTAGAGTATCCAGATTCCAGAGGACTCCTCTCACCTTAGGGACAGTGGGCTTGGCTGGGCACCAAGCATGCATTTAAATCCCTTGTGATTTCTTGAGGCCCTTCAGTTTGGAGAGAGCAGGAAATTAAAAGCTCCAAGAACAGGCTGAACCTTGCTGTGTCATGGTCATCCCAATCCCACCTGTGTAGTTGTTTCCGCTCCTCCATGTGCCAGACCGGCCCTCTCGGTGTCTTCAAAACCTTCAAAAGACGCAGGAACTTGTCCTTTGTTGTCTGCATGTCCCTTTAAGGTACAACTTATTCACAGGTATTTACGGAGCACCTTCCTGAGGGCCCGGCTCTCTCCTGGGGTGGGCCCTGAGATTCAGAGGTGCATATGACACATTCTCTTAACCCCTTAGGACAGTGACTACAGGAGTGATGAGAGGCAGGAGAGGGGCGACGTGTTTGGGAGCTTGAAATAGGACAGGCTCTTGAGAAGTGAAAAGGAACCACATGGCCAGAGTGGGAGTGGAGTCGAGGCAGGAAGTCAGTCTGGCAACTAGTCATGAATGGTGGCCTTTGGTCTCTGGTTGGGGGACCTCCCCCTCTGCCTCCGTGGAGAGCACAGGGCATGTGGCTGTTGGCTGCTGAGGCTGCTCTGGAAGGGCAGGAAGTGCCTCCAGCGACGGTGAGCCAAGAGCGGACAGTCCTCCTGGCCACTTTGCATAGACGCTCCCCTCCTCCTGTCTCAGATATGAGAAGATGATCAGTGGCATGTACCTGGGGGAGATCGTCCGCAACATCTTGATCGACTTCACCAAGAAGGGATTCCTCTTCCGGGGGCAGATCTCTGAGCCGCTGAAGACCCGGGGCATCTTCGAGACCAAATTTCTCTCTCAGATCGAGAGGTAAGTGCAGAGGGGCTTCCCTGCCAGCGCCCACCCACTGGAGGTCAGCCTGGCTAGTGGACTGTGAGGGGGGCCAGTGGTATGGTAATGGTATTCGTTACCATCGTAATGAATGTCACGTGGTAGGGAAGGTTTTTTTCTTTTTCTTTGTTTTTCTTTTGGTTTTGCCATAGGGTATGTGTACTTGCTGGAAACAGGTGGAGAGAGGGAAAGTGAGAACTCACCCCCCCAGGGAAGATAACCACGCAGCAGTCCCTTCTCCATTCTTCTCTTGGGATTTCGGGAGCATCCACACATGCACACCGGTGTATTTTTTAAAGCCACTGGGTCTGGTACTTGTACCATGGTTGGCCATGTGGGAGTCTGGCATCTTAACCACCATGCCACTTGCTGACTCTTTCGGATTTTGTTGTTGTTCAGATTTGTGCTCACCAGAAGAGACAGTGAGACGGAGAGACTCTTCTCAGTTAGGACAAATACGACCAAATACTTTGCTGGAGAGAAAGCAAATTGATAAAATTGCCTGGAAGGCACTTGGCCATATGTATCAAAATACCTTTAGCCAGAGATATATTTAAGGGGAAAAAAATCAGAGTTGTGTGTAAAGATTTATAAACAAGAAACATAGTAACTTTTTAAAAAGAGTTATTTATTTATATTAATTTGACCAGAGAGGGACAGAGCGAGCGAGAGAGAGTGAGAAAGCAGGCTGCCAGGCTTGGGACTCCAACAGCAGTCAACCACGTGGGAGTCCAGCACCCTTAACCACCTGCTGGCCCCTACTTTTTAATTTTTTAAAAAGTTTTTTCCCACAGGGCATGTGCTCGCTGGAGAGAGGCAGAGAGGGAGCAACAGTGAGTGAGAGGGAAAATGAGAAATCTCCCCCTCTGGGGAAATGGCTACAACACAGTCCCTTCTCTTCCATTCTCCTTTTGGGATTTTGGGCATGTATGCACAAGTGCCTAGAGTGATTTCCTTTTTCTTTTTGATTCTTTTTCCCCTTTTTTGGAGAGGTTTTTTTTCGCTATAGGGCATGTGCGCTCGCCAGACAGACAGAGAGAGACAAAGAGACAGAAAGCAAGAAATCACCCCCCAGGGGGGATGGTCATGCTGCAATCCCTTCTCCTCCATTCTCCTCTCAGGATCTTGAGCATGCACGCACACGTGCCCGGCATGAGTTTTAAGCCACCGGGTCCGGGATGCAAACCACGGTTGACTACGTGGGAGTCCAGCGACATAGCCATTATGCTAACTGCTGGTTCCCTATTTCTTTTTTTCTTTTTTTGTTTAAAGAATTATTTTATTTAACTTTATTTATTTTAATTTGACCAGAGAGGGATAGACTGAAAAAATAAAGACAGAGGGAAAGTGAGAAAGCAAGCTGCCAGGTCCAGGACTTGAACTGCAGCCGACCTTGTAGGAGTCCAGTGCCCTTTAACTACCATGTCACCTGCGGCCCAACCTAGCAATTTTTAAGCTATCAGATCCGGGACTTGAACCGCAACCAGCCATGTAGGAGTCCAGCACCTTAACCACCTTGACCATCACACCACCTGCTGGCCCCCAAATGTAATAACTTAGATATCTTCAAACTGGCTAATTATGGTGTGTCCCTGGAAATACATGGGAGCTATTTCCGTTCTTGTTTTCAGATGAGAGGAATTGCTCAGGTGTATGGGATAGGAAAAGAAAGAAAACCATATAAACAATGATCCCAATTTACATATTGTATTGTCGTTTAATGACATGGGGAAAATATTGGATTGTCAGAAAAGTCATGAGGTATTTTTTCTATGCAAAAATGCATCATGACTTCTCTGTCAACCTGACAGATGGGAAGGAATATATTAAAATATTAATGGCATTTTCCTACATGTAGGGATTATGGATAGTTTTAATTATCCAATTTTTTCTCTTATTTGTCATGTTTTCTATCATTTAATATGTAATACTAAATGGGGATCATTAAAGAAATGAACAAATCTGGGCTAGGCACTGGTTCGGTGGTGGCACAGCTGGACCCATGTGGGAAGGTCCTGGGTTCGCATCCTGGGACCTCCCAAGCATATGGGTGACTGTGCACATGTCTGTGGTCCAGGCCAGCTGGGACTGGGGGTGGATCTCAGGATGGGAACCCTATTGGGGAGCCTGTCTGTTTTGTGGAAAAAATTATTTTTTAAAAAAATGTTATTTTTCGGACTGGCTTCATGGTCTGGTGATTAAGGCAGCCAGATCCCACATGGCCAGTTGTGTGGTTTGAGTCCCAGACCTGGCAGCTTGAGAAATTTGCCAGGTGTGAGTGTGTGCCCAAAATCCTGAAAGGAGGGAGAGAGGGAAGAGAAGGGATTGTGGTATGGCCATTCCCATGGGAATGCTTTCTCCCTCTCTCTCTGGTGAGTATATACACCCTCTAGCAAAAAAAAAAAAAAGTTACTTTGAAGGAACAAAAAACCAGCCCAGTTTGTGGATAAGTTTGGTGATTTGGGGCCACCCTTGGAGTGAGTCCCTGGCTGCGCATGTGAGTCCCGCTTCATGCAGCCCTCTGGCTTTCATCCACTACAGTGACCGACTAGCGCTGCTCCAGGTCCGGGCCATCCTCCAGCAGCTGGGTCTGAACAGCACCTGTGACGACAGTATCCTGGTCAAGACCGTGTGCGGGGTGGTGTCCAAGAGGGCTGCACAGCTGTGCGGTGCCGGCATGGCGGCGGTAGTGGACAAGATCCGCGAGAACAGAGGGCTGGACCATCTGAACGTGACGGTGGGCGTCGATGGGACGCTCTACAAGCTTCATCCGCAGTGAGTGGGGCTTCTGGGAGGGCAGGGCAGAGCTTGTCCGCAAGTTTCCTCTAGGGGTGCTGTTCCTACCAGGGTGGCTCCCACCAGGGCACAGCCAGTCTGAGGCCTGTCTGGGGTGGAGAAGAACAGCTCTAGAGTTTGGAATCCCTGAGGAGGTGGAAGAGGGCTTCAGGTGACCCCTCACACCAGTGGATGGCTTGGCCCCCTTTGGGCTCCTTCTGTGCCTCTTAGATGGGAATGGGAGTGGGAGAGGATGTGAGGGAGGGTGTGGGCTTCCCCCTCAGCCCGCTTAGCTGCAGCTGGCCAGAAGGCTGTGTTCGTAAGTGGGGAGGAGAGGCCTATTGTCTTGTTCAGACCTTGCTAAATCGGAGTTTGCCAGGATTTAGATAGACAGAAACCATTTAGGCCCTGGGCTCCATGACAAGGACAGATAGAGAGTGGCCTCCTAGGTGTCATACCCCATGCCAGAGGACAGGTGACCGCATATGCTGTTAGATCCACTGTGTGTCCCAGAGTTTGGATCTTATGTTAGAGTGACCATATTATTTACTGTTTAAACTGGGATACTTTAATGCTGCTAATACTCTGGGACTGTAAGCAAACTGGGGCCATCCCAGATAAACTGGGCCATAATGTCACCCTCCTAAGCAAACTTGCTCAACTCAATGTGGGCATTACCTACTGGCCTCATGGCCATGGCTTGGTGGAACTACTTGTCTTCCGTTCTCACCTGTCTCTCCACCTTAATAGCGGTCTTCATCTGCACCAGAGGCAGCACCTGGGCGTGGTGGGGAGTTGGCTTTGGAGCCATAGACTCAGTGTTCATCCCAGCACCATCTCTTCGCTGGCTGTGCTTAGCTGCTTAATCTCTGCGAAGTCTGACCTTCCTCATGGGATAATAAGCCATGGTGGGATTAGCAATGATGTCTATCACGTATGAGGCACCTAGTAGGTGCTCAACAAAGAACAGTTGAGCACCATCACCCAAGCATCCTCAGCCTGACCCTGTCTTTAATTTTCACCACAAAATACCAATTACAGTCATCCCTTGGTATCTTTCTGGGATGGGTTCCAGGACCCCTGTGGATTACATGATTTGTGGCTTTCCAATCTCTTATAGAATCTGGCCTACTATTTGCCTAAGGGCTGTGGGCATCCTCCCGTGGACTCACATCATCTCCGGACCACATACAATTCTTAGTACAGTGCACACGCTCTCACATCGCTGTTACGCTGAATTATGTAGGGAATGATGACAAGGAGGGGTCTCTGTTCAGTACACACTCAATTGTCCTAAGCCTAACGACATACAAGAGACTTCAAAAAGTTTATGGAGGGGACCAGCGAGTGGCATGGTGGTTAAGATGCTAGACTCCCACATAGCTGACCATGGTTCGAGTTCAGGACCCAGTGGTTTGAAATCATGTTGGCTATGTACGGGTGCTTGCGTGTCCAAAATTCCTAGAGAAGAATGGAGGAGAAGAGACTATGGCATGGCCATCCTGCCCCCTCCAGGGGGGGATCATTTTTCACTTTCCCTCTCTGTGTTTCTCTCTGTAAGCACAAATGCCATGTGGCAAAAACCTAAAAAAAAAAA